TCCGCCAAGCTGGGTTTGCCTCCCAGCCCTCATCCTCTTGATCTGTGATGCCTACATGCTCAGCAATGGTTGGGCATGCCAAGTCTGCCTGGTTGAGACCTGCCAGGAGGTGTGCTGCACTCAGCTCAGCAGGCAGAGGAGGAAGCACTGGTTGTTGTTGTGCTAGCTTATAAGATGCTTGTCTAACCATCTGTCTCCTTGAAAGCTCACAACCTACAGGAAAAGACTGTCTGGGAAATGCTGCTTGCTTCTGCAGTATCTGGCGCTTCTGCTGAAGTCTGTGTTGGAATAGCTGTTGCTGAAGGGGTTTAGTTACTGTATAATCAGAATCTTTAGAATTATCTTTGGCAAGTAGCTTCTGAGTAGTAAAACTGAGTGTATCTGGTAAAGACACTCTCTGCCTGACCAGAGGTGCTCGACTCATCTCATCGGAACCAGCATACGAGTGTCTCCACTGACGACAGTACTGATAGTGTTGTTGCTGTTGATACTGGTAGTGCTGTCGTGCTGTCGTCTCCTCACTCCCTGTGACAGCTGCTGCCTGGTACAGTGATGTGAGTGCCTGGTGCTCTTGCTGGACACTGTGTAGCTCCGTCAGGCCTCTTGCCTTCTCAGTGTCAATTAGTCTTTGGCGGAATGCAATGACTCCTTGCGTCACTAGCCCATCTGAGGCACGGCGACCCTCACGGAAGTTGACAGGAGATCTTGTGTGTGATCTCTCCGTCGTCTCAGTGCTTGGGTCCAGCTGTGTTTGGGGCTGAATGGCTCGGAGCTGCGTTGCACCAGGCAGTGATGGCCGTGCAGTCAGGGACGCATGAGAACATGAGGAAAGAGAAGCCGCTAAATCCGGCTCCAGTTGTGACTCGAAGCTTTCAAATGTTGATTCTGTGCTGGTCACACTACCAAGTGGAGAATCTGTACCTTGAGAGGCTTCTGAAGACTGTTGTGAGGCACTCTTAATATTCTGCAACATACAGTGGTCTCTGCGAGTCATTCCAACAATTGAACTGCATTCTGAGTCGCACATGTCTGCTTCTACACCCTCATCTATGGAAGTGGAGGCACCAGTCTCATTCTCTCTGTAGCTCTTGCCAATCAGAGCCACTGGAATACCCATGCTCACAGGTACTGTGCTAGGATACCCTGTGAGGAATTCAGACTGTGATTCCTGGCTCGGTTCTCTGAAGGGTGGCGACACATGGGGTGTGACACTTGTCGCCGCACCCTCCACCTCAGTCACGGCCCCACCCAGGGACTCCCTCGGTGCCATGCTCTGAAAATTTGACACCGTACTAAACGGAATATTGCCCTGCTCGCCGGGGATGGCCGGTAGTAGCCTGCCTGTGTGGCCATGGGGCCTGGCCATCAGCATGTCCTGAGAGATGAGGGGGCTGATGACACCAGCAGAGGTGGTCTCTGTTGTGGCCATGCCTGACATGACGCTCCCAAGGGGACTGCTTGAGGAACCTGAGATAGGGCTTGTGTAGAGGTGTGCAGCCACAGGCGACGCCATGCCTGAAGGTCCTGTTGCACACATCTTTCTCATAGCCGCCTCTGCCACGCTGGATGGCCGCCGCCGCTGCTGCTGCTCTAGCCCTGTGTGCTTCTCACTGTGCAATGATGACCGATGCTGCTTCAGCTTCTCCAGCAGGAGCAGGTAGATGGCAGTGTAGTTGTCGTACGCCTCAGTGAGCAGGGACTAGAAGAAAATTGCAAATTTAGTTTGGAATTTAGGATCGCCCTGATGATGATGAGCAAGGCGGAAAATTAAGTGTAGACCGAGTTTTCCCTTTCCCCCAAAATTCAATTAAACACCAAGCATTAATACACAGTAAAAATATACAGTGTGCATATCAATAAATCTATTATTTGCATCAACTGTACACCCTCTGGTCGTCTCTATAAAGGAAGGGGAACATAAAAAAGTGTGCAAGATGAAAAAACGAAATCATATCTACATACTTTACAGTCTATAACTGTCTAGAAACATTTCCATATGATTATTCTCTCTCTCTCTCCCTCTCTTCCCCTTTTTTCTCTCTCTCCCCCCCTCTCTCTCTCTCTCTCTCTCTCTCTCTCTCTTCTCTCTCTCTCTTCTCTCTTCTACCCCTCCCCTTTTCTTTCTCTCTACCTCTTCCCCTCTCCTCTCTCTCACACGCACACCGCTCACCTCCCGCGTCCTCGTGACGTCGATGCCGAGCTCCTGCATAACCCTGAGGACTTGCTCATTGGGGTCGGTGGTTCGCTCGGCCTTGGCGGCGGGCGGGTCGAGCGCCACCCTCGGGGGCTCCTCCGCCTGCATCCAGCGGTGCCGCTTGATCTGCTCCACCGTGTACCGCCTCACCGGGTCCAGGACCAGCATCTTCCTCACCAGCTGCTCGCAGTCTGCACCAGAGGGAGATACAGGCAGTTATAGGCTGAGTGCATGCAATTTAGAAAGATGTATAATATGAGTTACTTTGTAATTGGATGTTGAATAATAATAAAATAATAATAATTG